CTGGAGTCAAGGGAGGGCGGTGGGCGTGGGAATGGTGACGCGCGACGTGGCAGCGAGGGTGGGGATGGACTAGTCGCGTGTCCAACGAGTCGGACCGACATGCCGAAACCTGAGACGCGCCCCCGACCTCGACCAGGCAGCACCTGCGCGTCGCGATCCAGATCGGATGGCGCGCGAGGGTGTGCGCTCGGGACGCCCAATGAGCACAGCTGCATTTTTTAGAATTTGGGAACATAAAAAGGAAAAGGAAAAACAAAACAAAAACACATAAAAGAAATAGAAATATAATGCGTTGAGCGTACTGCGCCGGCCAGCAGTGGCGAAAGGTGTGTATTTTGCTGGCTTACTAAAAGCTGGGCGGACCTAGCTGCCTCTAGCTGTGGTGGTATCGTCTCCCGGAACGGAGTGAAACAAACAGGGGATTTTTGTTCTGCTCCGTGCTCTGTTTCTGCCCTGAAGAGCCGGCTACAGATTCGCCTACCAGTCGCTCCCTGCTCAACACAACGAAATCTACCGCACATACGATCCGAACACACTCTCACCAGCAATAACAACACTGTAACAATTCCACTGTAACAGTCTGAAATCTCTCTGGACCGCACTGTCTACGACCGAACCGCTTCTTACTCTAAGGTGTAAGCCATCGCATACTTGTGAGAGATAGCGCTGCATCATTCACTGAAAGGCGGAAAAGAGCAGGCAGATACCACACGGCTAAAGTTATTCCTCATTCAATCCCCAAGCACTACAAGGCGAGAAAGATGAACACAGTACGGGATCAGCATGCATGCATGCATACAGGCCTTCACGACTTGGTGGTGAAGGGCGTGTAGGTCTTGAGCGAGTCGCGGACGCCCTGGATGGACGCGGCGCAGGCGGCGACGGTGACGAGGAAGCAGACGAAGCTGAGGCTCTGCAGCGCCACCCACTTGGTGCCGAACCGCGGGATCTGCCGCTGCCGGATGTACATCTCCACGGGGAAGAAGACGGTGAGCGGCCAGAAGGCGATGCTGCCCAGGAACCCCAGGATGCTGTTGAAGAAGGGCATCAGCATGGCCAGCAGCGTGATCATCCCCACGAACGCCGTCCGCCATACCAGCCGGAACACCGCCGCGTGCTCCCGGCCCAGCCCCGGGTACCTCCGCGCCACGCCGCCCTCCACCGCCGCGAACAGCGGCTGGCAGAACACCTGGAACCCGCCCACCAGGTGGAGCACGATGCACACGTTGGCGAAGTCCACCAGCCAGTAGGGCTCGTAGAAGCCGAACCCCGTCAGGATGTTGCCGTTGGCGTCGTTGCCGAAGGCCGAGTAGCCCAGGCAGCCGCACAGCATGTAGAAGGCCGTCGTCGTCGAGATGCCCATCAGCGTCGCCTTCCGCATCGTCTCGTTCTCGCGCGGAGGTGACCGTAGCGTGTCCTGCGCACATGTTCATCGTCGTTTGGTGGCCAGCTAGTTAGTCATCATCACCTGCTCTGCTCGAGCTCCAGAGACGAGAGTTATATATATAGTACCTGGATCTCGATGAGGATTATGGTGTAGGAGTAGGCGAAGGCGACGTTGCCGAGGGCCTGGAACGTCATCCAGACCTTCTGCGAGGCGTCGACGTCGACCCCGACCTCCGTGCCGGTCAGCGACGTCTTCCCCGTGGGCCCCGAGATGGTCTGCGCCAGCGAGAGGCCGACGGCGATGGTGGCGTAGGAGAAGGACATGATGGCGGCGACGATGGAGAGCCACGAGAGCTTGTGGAAGTTGGGCACCTGGCAGAAGATGACCTGCACCACCCCGAAGCCGATGATGTAGGCGCTCAGGTACTGGCTGCAGTCCGCCTTGTGCCCGTGCCAGTGGTAGCAGTTGGACTTCTTCAAGGCGCTGCATGCAAACACACGCTCAGACCTTACTGCTACTACTATGATCGATCGATCGATCGATCGATCGATCATGCATGTCCAGGTGGGAATGAAAATGGGCTTCCATGGGGCTTACGCGGCGCTGGTGGAGGCGGTGATGGTGTAGCCGATGCCGGTGCCGAACATGTTCACGTACTGGCAGAAGCCGCAGAACCAGACGTGCCATCCGCCTGCATGCAAATCATCATTTTCAGCTTGCAATCTTCGTTTTCTCAGCCGGAAAGAGCTCGCAATATGACGATCACATACCTAGGTAGGACTGGACGGCCTCCGTGTAGGTGTAGTTGCGCTTGCCAGTGACGGGGTCGCCGACGCGGTAGCAGTCGGCGAGGAGGCCGCAGGTGTAGAAGGTGATGACGGCGAAGAGCACCAGGGTGAGCGGCCCGGCCACCCAGCCCAGCTGCGCCATGGCCCAGGCCAGCGACAGCACGCCGGACCCGATCACCGCCGTTATGATGTGCGCCGCCGCCGTCCATACCGTCCCTGGTGGTACACACACACAAACGTACAACAAAAATGAGCTGTGAATCCTTTGTCAAAGGAAGATATCAAACGATATACACGTTGTGTTTCTTTCCCTTTCTTTCGGCAATCGATTTGCTTGGTATAGAATTCTTACAAAAACCTCTCAAATTCATGTGTTCCAATAAAGCTCTAAACACCCCCGCAAAAAAGAAAACTCTAAACGAGTTCTCTGAAATTCATGTATGCACTTCAGAAAGTACGTGTCTGAGCCATCGACCCGTACGCAGACAAAAAGTCGCTGCCCCGTTGACGCGTACAGAAAACCGACGGTAGAGAACCAAGGTAAGCAGATCAGAGAGCTTTCGGCGATCGCCATGCAGAAAGCAGAGTTGGCAACATATTCGCGCTCGGTGGTGGCACTACGCACTAGCAAGGGAAAGAAAGCTACGGCCAACCATCGGAAAAATATCGGACGTACGTATGGCGCCACCGCCGCCGCTGGATTTGGCAACATGTCATTCAATTCGAGACGGGTTCTCTACCTCGGTGGCCTACGCTGCCATGGCAGCCGTTCTTTTCTCGGTGGCCTCTTTGACCTGTGCCTATCTCATCGGGGCGCGTCTAGGACGACGTGCCGGTTTTATGGAGAGAACGCCAACTGATTGGACCGTTGTTGTGGCGCTATGTTGGTAGGGGAAAGATACTACCACCGGGCTGAAATATTCCGAATCAACTTGTCTTCCTGAAAGGCAAAGCCTCCCAAAACCTCCAGACTCCACATCACACAAACATATACTCCCTCCGTCCATGTTTAAAGGATAATACTATCCCCGTCCTGCTGGTTTATTGGTCCCACTATATTTTGTGCCAAATTTTAATCATAAATTTAATTAACTAAATGTTCATGCATGTCATAAAAAATTATATTATTAGAAACTATGAACAAATCTGAATCCAACGATGTAATTCTTTTTGACATGCATTAACGTTTTGTTCGTTAAATATTTGATCAAAATTGACACAAATTACAAAGGGGATCAATAAACCAGGACGGAGGTAGTAAGGTTTAAGGCCAAGACTCTACTACGAAGTGTGCCTTGGAACTTGTTTGTAGTTTACGATACTGGTGAAATAAATCATGAAAAAGAAAATACCCACTCTTTCTGTCTGCCCAAAAAAATCATGCTCAATATCCAGGAATATTTCCATTGACGTGTAATTGCAGTGTCATATTACCCAATTTAACCGCATGTAACTCAACATGGTACCAGGCGCATTATAGAGTAAATACTAGAAGATTCTATGTTTAGCCCGAAGGAACCACAAATTAGCAAATTAGCAGCCATTGAATAGGCCCACCTTATCCTATTAGTTTGTGTTTTTGGAAGCACTTGACACTGCTCTAAAGAATGTTCCATACTAGCTAGTGGGGATGATTCTTCCTATTATTTTGTGTTTTTGGAAGCACTTGACACTGCTCTAAAGAATGTTCGATACTAGCTAGTGGGGATGCATCTTTCTAAACCTCTCACAATCAATGGGGGGTTTTCTACGGCTGTGGATTCTCTGACGTAAGTCAGGTTGCCTTGGAGTGGCCGACATGTAGGCCAGACAGCAAGTTGGTCCATATGCCAGCCATCCAAAGTCAGCTGACTTACGGCAGAGAATATGCGCCTGTTTTGTAAACTGGAACTCAAATACCAGGCCATCGATTGCCAAAGAGGATTACTATTTATTTTCTAGTACTCCCTCCGTTCGAAAATACTTGTCATCAAAATGGATAAAAAAAGATGTATCTAGAACTAAAATACGTCTAGATATATCCCTTTTTATCCATTTTGATGACAAGTATTTCCAAACGGAGGGAGTAGCTATTTACGCAACACATCCGTTAACAACACATAATGTGACTATACAAATCTTCAAACTCCATGGCCCGACAAACGTTGTGTTTAGAATGTGCGCGTGCGGTAGGCGCGTAGCGTGTGCGTCTAGGCGGTATACTTTGCAGTGGTTGGTGTTTCCAAAAATTGTGGACATGCACCAGGAATGAATTGCCCAGTTTACCTAGGAAGAATTAATAGTTCTAATTGTAGTAGTATTCTCAAAATGCAAAGGTTCTACGTTCCACAGATAAACAAAACAGGTAATTGTTAATTGAATCTGCAAAACGAATTACAGTAACGTCTGCAAGGGCCAACCGATCGATTGCCAACCCAGCGATAGTAACCCAAAGATTCGAAATTGGATACTAGATGAATCTGCGTATATCTGGCTGGGATCCGAGCGAATCATAAATGGGAATCCTGGTAGGTTTAGTCATACGCGCCACAGAGATTCCAGGCGCGCGGTAATTAATGGTTTACAGAAACGGCCGGATATGCGTGTCTGTGGCACGCTCATAAGCAAGCAGCAGCTTTTTTCGCCCGCCCGCGGTTGAAACTGGAAAGCAATCAATTTTGATAACCAGCCCGCCAGCCCGGCGTGAGAGATGCAGAGAACTTCGCCGGCAAGCATCCAAACGAGATGTGGCCTATGCGCGACGGGGGCCATGCCATACTACTACGTCGGAAGGATCCATGTGCATGCATTGTACGTATACGTCGGAATAAATTCCGTGGGAATTCGCGTCATCGGACATTAATGCCGTATACGCCGTCCAGCTCTACGTGGCCGGCTACGCCCTATCCTCCCTCTCTCGACGCGCTCGCTCCCCGGTTCACGAAGCGCGCGCGTGACGGCCTCGGTTTCCCCTTCCCTCCTTCACTCAATTTAGGGATGGTAAATATCCAACCGCCTTCCGTCCGCCGGCCGGAGAACGGATCGATCGATCGATCTACGGAGAGGCGAATCACTAAGCAAGAATGGTAGGATGGACGGACGGACGTACCTGTTCTCCTCTCCCTGCCGTCGTCGTCGACGTCGCCGTGGGTGCGGGGAAGGTGGCCGTCGACGTCCATGGCCCCGCCTCCGCCGCTCTCACGCGCTGCTCCCGCCGCCTCCCTCCGCGTTGATCTCCTCCTCGGCCTCCCTCCCTCCCTCTCTCTCTCTCTACAAGTGATCTGTTGTATCTTGTGTGTGAGTTATGTATGTGGGAGTGATAGACAGATGATTGTTTGCGGTTCCCTCTCCCCCCTCGCAGCTTTGCTCCTCCTCCGGTGGTGGAAGGAAAGGAGAAGTGGTGTGGTGGTGTGGTCAGGAGAGGGAATAGGAGAGGCCAATGAATTGCCATATATATAGGGGCCGGGGGCGGGAGGGGGGGTCGGGCCGGCTGGCTCAACTTCCGCGTCAGCGGGTCTCAGTATATTCAGTCCGGCCTGCTTGAGAAACGGGGGAACGGAATGCGACGACGTCATGTATGACACCAGTGGCTAATTCTCTCTTTTCTAAATATTTTTTGCGGGGATAATAACCGAATAAGAAAGGCAACTCTGTTTTACATATCATTAAACACGATTTATTTTTTTAAGGAAAAAGGAAATAAGTAATTCGGTTCCCGTACAAACCCTGTGGGGCATCCATATCTAAGAAAATCCATAATGATTAAATGGCTCCCATATCAAACGTGTTACCAAGGGGATAATAATTAATATAAATTCTATTCATACATGAATTTCTAAATAATGTTTTTATTTGCTTTGCATAGAACCTTTGTGTTGTATGAACACATCAGTAGTTGAACTCAGAACAAGCATTAATATATAGGAGTACACCTATTCCTATATATGAAGTTTCAAATAAGGGAATGTAAACAAAGTAGTAGGTTTACGAAATCAAAATAACTTGATTTGGGGATATATTTTTATGGAATTACTATTTGGATTTAGAGACAACAATATTTTCATACGAAATTTAGAACAGAAAAAATAAATTAGTAATATTTTGTATGAACACCATGTACGATCCATAATAGATGAATTTGTAACTACATGTGATCTTTATTAGGTGATCCAATAATACTATTATATTAACATATGAGCTTCAAAATAATGAAAAACAAAAGGAAATTATCATGTACTTCTTTCCATACACATATAGCCACTTGATCTATCAACCGAGACGAGTGATTTCGGAGTATAAGGAAAGAATTTGACATCAGTGCAACAAACACGAGTGGAAGCATTCATGAATTGACTCTTACCGAGGGAGTTCAAGATGACTCAAAGTAACTTAAGTGGTAAGATAATAAGAATCAAAGAACAAATTCAGGTATTAAGATCACATATATGGCAGGCATGCCATAAGGTAAGAATTGTTTAGAAATCGAGTGCGCTAATATGAGGTTCATTGGTTTGCAACCTAATGTGGCATGCCAGTTTTTGGCAAGCCAACATTTACCAGAAGTTCAAACTTGCAATATTTGGCAACTTTGGCTAGTGTTTGGCCAGTAGAGTTTCCAAAAGTTGGAACCAAACCAATAAGGTACCAAATTTTCAGAGTTGCCAAATATTGGCTGCAAACCAACCAGGCTCTATGTGCGAGCGAGCGAGTGTATCACACGAAGGAAGTGATATGTCTCAATAGTATCTATATTTTTTTATTGTTAAATGCTATGATATATATCACTTTTGTATGCTTCATATGTCATTTTATATTATTTTCCGGACTAATCTATTAATTTAGTGCCGTTCATGCTTTTGTATGTTTTTGGTTTTCCAGAAAATCCATACCTACAGAAGTCCAAACACGACGAAAATTATTGACGATTTTGTGTGGACAATAAAAGACCCTAAAAGCTTTGGGGGAGGACAAGAAGACCCACAAGAGCCCCACAAAGGCACGGGCATGCCCTGGGGTAGGGCGCGACAACCTGGCTTGTGGGTCTCTCGTAGCTCTGTTTGCCCTAATTTATGGCCTATAAATTCCCACATATTAAAAAAACCCGAAGCGAGGCCCGAAAGGATTTATCGTCGATGCAAGCCTCTATTCCAAACCGATCCCATCTAGAGCCCTGTTCTAGTACTCTGCCGGAAGGGGAATCATTGGGGAGGCCACCTTCATCAACCTTACTGCCTTTATGATGATGTGTGAGTAGTTCCCTTAGGATCTACAGATCCATAGCAGTAGCTAGATGGATTTCTCTTTCTCTCTCTTTTGATCTTCAATACATGATCTTCTCTAAGATCAATCCAATGTAATCTTTTGCGGTGTGTTTGTTGGGATCCGAAGAATT